TCTTGAAAACGCAAACGAGTGGGGGGTTTGAAAGAAACGCACGACAACGAACTAAAGTTAATTATATTGATCGTAATGGTTTCGAGCCGCGTCGCCTCAATCGCACCCCGAAGCAGCGGCAAACTTCCCGACAGCGTCGGGATTGCTGGAGTGCCGCCGCTGCACCACACGCGGTTGACAAGAGGTGAATGCCTGAAAATTATGATGATAGATTTTAGCAAATTGGGATGAATCTATATAATTAAGAATAATGCCAAGAACATAGTTCTGGAAGCTATATATATAGTTCAATAATTTGAGGGTTATAACTATAACGTAGGACATTCACCTTTAAAGAGTTCACGAGTGGAAAAAGCATTAGTGATCACAATGTGTATCAACTAAATAAACTGAAGGTAGAAGGCCGACCGGCATGTCACTCCAATCCGTGCACTGCGACCCACCTCTACCGCAGTAGGCTTTCATAGAGTCCACAGACGAGTCAGCAGGCGACGTAGTCGGCCTCCTGCGCGCCGTCGGGTGCTAGCGACTCCACGGAGTGCCATCTCGCTGACGGGGTCCACCGAGAAAGTGCTAGCCGCTCTTCATTCTCACTCGAAGACTAAAGTACAAATACGGAGCGTTCCGTACACGCAGGGCAGTGAAGTCAAGAGAGGAGGTCGTCATCCGGTGGAGGTTGGTGCTGAACTGGCTTGGAATGGCTGCCAGGGCTGAAAATCTCGGGGCTGCGGATTAACCTCGATATGGCGAAATTAAGTGGGTGCAAGTAAACACGTAAAGGAGATAATGCCGTCGGAAAATGAATTTAAATTTAGACATGGGGAACATTGTGATCACTCCTTGCTTAAAATGAAATGAATGATAGCAGTTTTCAACAAATGATGTATTAACTCTCAGTTGATAACTGATTTGAATGCAATACGTATAAGCCAGCAACAATGAAGTATTAACATTCAGTTAATAACTAATTTGAATGAAATATAAGCCAGCAACGCGGCTCGATTCATCGTCAATTAGTAGAAAAGTTAAATCTAAGGCTATTTACACAGCTCTTTATATTATTCGTTTCATACAATGAGCAAGTAACATAGCTAAATCTGTTGCCATCCACGCATTTCAATGTTATCTCTTCTTTTTTATTTATGATCGTTTTGAGCCTTGTCCCTAGCGATAGATATGTTCTTTTAAGAAGTAGGTTTGGCCTGAACATGCACACACCTATCCGTTTTGTTTATTTTACTTACCACATATTACGTTGTATAAACGCTGGTTTATCATGGATTTTCTATTTGTTTGACACAAGTTATCTTCCATGGAACAAATTTTAGGCAAAGAAAATAATAATAGCAATCAGAATTGAAAAAAATATATATATTTTTGGAAACCAGGTCGATCCAACATCAAATCAGGATGGTCTTTAAAGCAATACATTCGAATATTGTACGTTTTCGTGTTATTTTCTATAATATTTAGTTTTAAATTAGTTACTGAATGAAACGTTCAAGTGATCTCAACTTTTTACATGCCATTAAGACCCATTACGACCCATCATCAGCTCCCAGAGGCCGTACTATTGAAAATCATTTAAGTACATGTGATGTAATGACCTAAGTATACCTTGCGGATCTTGTATGCGTAGAATCCTAAATACACAGGCAGTCGTTCTTTGTCTGTAAGGGTAGGGCAGTTTTGCTTGTAAAGCCGTCAGTGATTGGCTGATGGAGTTAAGAACGCATAAGTATATTTGATGTTACGGTCCCATACTTTCAAAAAAAGTTAAGAGATCGTAAGTTCATCAGTCAATCATTGACGACGGCCGTTCAAGCAAAATCCCCCAATCATAGACAGGAAAATAGAGCGTAAGTACTTACGTTCACTTTGCGAGTTTTGAAAGTATGGCCCCAGGTCCCTGATGTGGCAGGAGTCGCAGGCGCCGGACGCAGTGAAGCGCGGCGCTGACGACTTTTGATGACTAACTACATTTACAGGGGGATGACTAACTACAGGGGATGACTAACTACAGGGGATGACTAACTACAGGGGGATGACTAACTACAGGGGGATGACTAACTACAGGGGGATGACTAACTACAGGGGGATGACTAACTACAGGGG